TCTGTACCTGTTTCACTTGGGGATGGCTTAAGCCTTTGAAACTGGAAGTGGTTCTAACACTGAATGTCTATAAGGTCAACTGTCTGCTTAAAACGGCTGCTTAAAAAAATAGAGCTAAAAACTGCAAATGGTATTCTTTTTAAAAACTTGCTTTTTAATGTGCATGAGTGTTCTGCCTGCATGTATGTGTGTTGCATGCATACCTGGTACCTGCAGAGGCCAGTAGAGGGCATCAGATCCTGAGCTACCTACCATGTGGGTACTAGGAACAAAACCCGAGTTCTTTGGAGGAGTAGCTAGTGCTCTTAAGCACCCAAAGTCTTCCTGGCTCCACTATTTTTTCACTTTTGCTATACTGGGATCAGATGCAGGGCCACACGTCGTAGGTAAGCTGTCTCCTCCTGAGCTACAGCCCCAGGGAGCATTGTATTTTTATTTTCAGTGCCGATGTGTCTGTAGTGTAAAGGAATTCAATGGATTTTTTTTTAAAAAAAATTATCTTGTATTTCCTGGCCCAGCTGGACTTACTTTGTTAATTGTAGAGATAAAACAAAACAAAGCAAAATCTCACTTGGTATTTTCTATATGGACAATTATGTCAGCCATGTACAAATAGGGATGGTTCAACTTACTTTTTAAAAAATTACTACATCTAAAATGTGTATGTGTGTTTGCAAAAGAAGTCAGAGAAAAATCTGAAGGAGTCAGTTTTCTTCTACCACGTGGGTCCTAGGGATCAAACTCAGGCTTGGCAGCAAAACTGTTCTCAATTTTAGGGGGAAAGCATTCAGTGTAGTGTTTACCAAGAATGATTTTTATAAACTCTGTAAAGTTTAGCTCCCTTTTCATATTTTTCTGAGTGTTTTGATTGTGAATGGTGTTGACTCGTGCCAAATGCCTTTCCTGAATCACTTGGTATGTGGCTTTTTTCTCTTTTCTTTTTTATTTCATTTTGTCACTGAAGTGACTTGACAGATTTGCAGATACCACACCATCATGACGTCTCTGGATAAACCACTTTGCCATGGCGCACAAGTCTTAGTATGACTGAACCCTATTAACTCCTGCTTCCTTAAGCTTTCCTTTTCTTTCTTTAAACCCACACTCATTCACCTGTGGGTTTTTCTTTGTATTATGGTGGTTTAGGTACCAAGCTAACACTAGCATCATAACAATGAATTAGGTAAATTAGCCACTATCTGTTTCCTTGGCTCTACACTTACCTGGTCTGAGACGAACAAGGTTCTTGCTTGCTTTGGCTCATGTCTGCACCCAGACCATTCCCTTTCAAACTGCTCCACTCATTGCCGTGGAAGTCTCTTGTAGACAGCACAAGGCTGGGTTATGTTTTAAATACATTTTGCTAATTTCTATCCTTTAATTATCATACTTGATTTTTACACGTTCAAGGGTTTCCTAACATGTATCTATACCACATGTATGCTTGGTGCCGAGGATACCAGGGGAGGGTGTTGGGATCCCTTGGAGCTGGAGTTATAGGTGGTTGTGTGGGTGCTGGGAACCAAATCCAGGTCTTTTGAAAGAGCAGTTAGCAATCTTAACCTGAGATTTTTCAGCAGCTCCAGTCGCACACTTTGACTACTTCCATTAGCATGCTGAAATATAACTCTGCCATTTTATTTTTGCTTTTTAGTTGAAGCTGGCTGAATTCATGATCCTCCTACCTCAGCCTTTCAAGTACTAGGATCATAGGTACACATACACAAGCTTTCTTCTTGTCTTCTAACAGACAGGAGGTGTTTTCTTTTTTAAATTTAATTTTTCATGTTGAGTAAATTCTTTCTGCATTTGTTTTATTGGATGCCTACTGGTGTATTTTCCACATTCAAATACGGAACCCATATCTTCTTTGCTTTCCTCTTCTAACTGTGCTCTGTGTCTTAGGACCTTAGTAGTTAGTGTTACAACTTTTACTCCATTGTCAAGTGTAATTAGGAGACTAAAAAGCCTATTGCATTCATCCTAGTTTCTCCTCTTGACCCTTTCATTTTTATGATGCACAAAGTCTCCTTTTATTATTTCTTTTCTGTTTATTTTCCTCGTTATTTGGGGCAGGATGGCTGATAATTCTATTTATTTTGACTTTTCTTTTTGTCTTACTTTGTCCTTATTCAGGGGGTGTCTTTGGTTTTGGTTTCTTGTCTTCATGAAGCAACTTTCTCTGGTCTCCCTTTCTGATGGGTGAAGCAATCATCATCATTGCTTTCTCTCTAAGTGTTACTTCTCACTACTTCCAAGAAGTTTTGATTTTCCAAACTTTGACTATGAAATGCTTGGGTGTGTGTTTCTTTGGGCTTCCTCGAGGCCCACCCAGCTTCTTTGTCCTTTGCAAAAGTCAGGATGTGTTGAGCTCTCTGCAGCCTGCCCTCTTCCTGCTTTTTCATGTCACAAGTCAGCTCTTCTGTTAGGAATCAACCAGGCTCCAAATCTCTTGGCTTTCTAGTTTTGCCTCCAACCTCTGCTATTTTTCCCACACTGGCAGCTACTGTTCATTCATTCTTTCCCTTGCCCACTCGCTGCAGTTTTAGATCTCAGCTATGGTTTCTAATACTAAAATCACCATTCAGGTCTTTCTACCTTCCGCCTTACAGAGGCTTCTCTTTTCCCTGACTTTTGGCATGGTCCTAGGGCTTGCTGTGGCATCTCAGTGGTGGCTGCTCACTCAGTCACTACGTTAGGTGAAGGCATTCTGATGAACTGGGCACTTTGGCTGGGTGGTATACATTTTGCTGTCTGGGATGTTCCTGGTTCTTGACACATGACCATCAGATGGAAGCTCAGTATACTGGAGATTTATGAGCCTCTGGGTCTAGTTAGGTCCTGCCTCAGCTGGCTCGCTCTGAATCCACTCTAGCCTGGAGGGAGGGCAAGAGGAACCGCTAGTGATGGATGGGAGCTGAGTCCCCACGGCTCCGATGACACAGCAGGAAAGGTGGTGCTGCCAGGTCCTGCCCCACAATGTTTGACACACACTGGTGGTGGGAAAGTGGCCATAGGCTACTATGCCTGGAGTGTGGGAAAATCCAGGTTCTCCTCTGAGCCTCTGTTGGCATGGTGGAAGTTGGAGTCTACGGTGTTTCTCTACAACCGACAGGTGTGTTTGAGCTTTAAATGTATTACATAGCCGGGCTGTCCTTTTCCTGGTACCGTCACTAGAGCAGACTGTGTGTGTCCAAGCATGTCCTCTTTGGTACTTCTGGGGTGCTGCCTTTCTTAGTTACAAACCTAAACTGTACAAGGCAAAAGAGAACGCAGAGAATTTAGCACGCGGGGCCTTGGGTCTTGAGGCCCTACTGAAGTCTCTGTCACTTCCCCATTCAGTCCTGCCCTAGTTTGTTGCATGAATAGTAAGAGATTTTAGTTGTACTTAACGAGAGAAATAGAGAAAAGCACACCTACTCCGTCTTCCCAGAGATCAGTCTCCATACATCCCTATTTTAAACTGGTGTGGGTTTTCTGTCTGTCATTTTGAGATGAGGCTTCACTATGCTGACCAGATCGGACTCAGGCAATCCTCCCACCTCAACCCAGGACTATTCTAGGACAACCGAGTTCTAGGACAAGCACACAGATCCATGTCTAGCTAGGTTCTTGTTTTAAAGATAGCTATCAAACCTTCATTTGTGTGCGTATGTTCATGTGGGGGAGGGTGTGCAGATACCAGAGGCCAAGCTCAGTGTCATTCCTTGGGAGCCACTGATCTTTTTGAGACAGGCTCTCTCAGCAGCCCAGGGACTCTCCAAGCAGGCTAGGCTTGCTAGTTAGGGAGCCCTAGAGACCCACCAGTCTCTGCTTTTTCAGCATGAGGATTCCAAGCTTGCAACACCATGCCCAGCTTTGTTGTTTGTTTTATTGTTTGTTTTGGACTGGGGTTTTAAGAACTGAACTTGGGGTCTGATGTTTGTATGCCCACTTTACCAACTGAGCAATTTCCCCAGCTCTTAAGTTTCTATTTTCTCTCCTTTCACTCGTGCGAACAACTGGGGCTAGCAAGTGGGAGCCGAGTCAGTCCTTCTTAAGGGTTCTGGTTTCTTATCCTACTCCATACAGGAATGTTCCAGGGATATTCTAGGATGTCGGGACCATTTCTTCCCAGTATTTGTCTTTCAGTTCACGATTCACCTCTCTTTTTCTGGGAGAGGGGCTGGAGCAGTTTGAAGATTTCTCTTATTTTTCTGCAATCTAGGATCTAAATGTAATTACTTTTCTTAGTTTTTCAAGGGTTGTATTGTTTGTTAAAGGGCCCAAACCACTGGTTTAAAAAAAAAAAAAAAAGGAATCCCCTGCCACACATCATAGGACACACCTGGAACTCTAGATCTAGGAAGGTTGAAAGGCAGGACGATCCTGAATACAAGGCCACTCTGGCCTAGAGTGAGCTATTTCTCAGAAAACAAAAGAAGTCCCAAAACTTGATATGATTGCTAATACTAAGCGCCAGGCTGTCCCAAGCTTGCCACAGGTTTCCTCACGGAAACTTTCAGAATAAGCTTCAGATACAGGCATTTCATTATCCCCGTTGACCCAGGTGAGGCAGCTAAGGTACAGAACTGGAGAGTGGTGAGGCTCAGCTGGGCCTAGTGGCACAGGACTGTATGTACTTGACCCAACTACAGCAGAAGAAGGGCAAGAGGGACACAGGTTCAAGGCCAGCATGGCTCCAGAGCCACACCCCCACTTAAGGCAGACTCCCTGAGGCCAAGGCTGCTCTGTGCAGTCTGAGGTGGAGCACTTGCCAGGAAACCACTTATAGTCATGAATGCACTTGCTCCTCGAAGGACAGTGTCTTTCTGCTTCTCAAAATTTTATCACCAACTCTCTACAGTCTGCTTACTCTTGGAAGCTGATCAAAACAAGCAGAAACTGGAGCAATGCACCACCAGGTTGCAAACCTACCCTGGGCCACAGAGCACATTGAGATGCTTCCATGCGACTCCGGATGGAAATATGTCCAGGGGAGAACCCACAGCCATCGCCACTTACACACTCCAGGACCTCCTGGCCCCTTTTAATTGTTGAATTCTTATCCCCATTCCAAATCTTTTGTACAGTCGAAAACAAGGAACTGCCAAAGTGAGAAACCCCTTCACAGCTCTGTTGAAAACCAATAGATTACAAACAGGAAGGTCCCAGATTCCTGCTTGCAAACACTAAAAACATTCCACACACAGAAATATCCTCAGGTTCTGTTATGTTCTATACAGTTTTGACTCCCCCTTTTTGATGATTTCTTCCATTTCGTCTGAGATTTTCCCTTTATAGTCGTTTGGTTCTATTGCTTTTAACTTCTCTTGATACTCCAGTGGCAAACCGTTTTCTTTTGCACCCATGCAGATAACCTAGAAGGGGTTAAAACAAGGAAGTCCTTTTAGTTAGGGGCACGCTTTAGTGTGCCATAGCTTGGTCTGTACTGTCAAACATCCACGATATTAGCTTTAGATGACTAAAAAACCTAGCCACGGTCAGCTGTTCCGCATTCTGAGGGTGACTGCAGAAGGGATCTCAAAGCAGCTTGAAGCATTGTCAGAGTATCAGTTCTACTCAACAGCATGACTTAAAATGTTTTACTATTAAGACGCAATGTACTGTTATAGTATAAGATTTATGTGATGTTTTAAGAAAAATTACAATCTTTTTTTTTTTTTTTTTTTTTTTTAATAGACAGGGTTTCTCTGTGTTACAGTCCTAGCTGTCCTGGAACTAGCTCTTGTAGATCAGGCTGGCCTCCAACTCACAGAGATCTCCCTGCCTCTGCCTCCCAAGTGCTGGGATTAATGGTGTGCGCCACCACCGCCTGGCAAAAAATTACAACCTAAAAAAAAAAAACAACCCAAAGCTTTTAGACAGCACCTGTCATTACCATTGTCTACTTCTGCTTAGAAGAGACACAGAGGACAAGGGTCTCCCCAGACGCTTACCAGGCTGATCTCTGGGCACCATGCCAGAGGCTCAGCACCTGTGTCACCCTCGATGTCAGCCAGGTCTCCACAGGCCACATAAGGTACCTAACCTCGAGTTTCTACCAAGGGGCATCTGGCCCCATCCCACTTGGGTCTTGTGTTTTGGAGGATGGATTCCCTGACTCCAAAAGGCCTAGTGACCTTCCCATTTAGGGAAGAAAATATTTCAGCAGGGGAAAACACACTCCCCCGTCATGAAAAAAATTAATTCGTTCTATGAGGTATTGTTTAAGAAAAAAAATTATAAAAGCCTAAGTATAGACTATTATACATATACAATAGATACTATAAATCTATTAAAATATACTTTCCCTATTTAAAACATTTTGATTAAAATTTTGATGTGGGATTTCAAGTTTGTAAACGCTTTCTACCAACGAAACGCCCTCTAACTCAGCCCAAGGGAGTTGAAAAGGCTGCCCACAATCCAGTAGCTCACCTTCTTATACTGCGGTGATGGGGGAGCGCTCTCATAATTCGTCATCAGGTAACTTCGACAGGTTACCTCTCTCCCTTCCTGAGTTGACACTTTAATTTCTATTACAACATATACTCCACTTTTAACTCCTTCTTGCCTGAAACCAAATGAACATTTAGGAGAATGGTTTATAAGGTAAGATGCTTAACTCAAGTTGAAGTATAAGATTAACCCTGTATCTGCATAGGCATGTTTGCTAACTAAGTATCACCATGTCAAATGTACACTTAACATTTTCTTGTAAACACTATGCAGCCCTGTCTGGCCTGGAACTCACTATGTAGACCAGGCTGGGTTCAAACACTCAAAAACCCACCTGCTTCTGTCTTCTGAGTGCTGGAATTTAAAAGTATGCCCAGCCTTGCTTTTGTGCACTACCATGTCTGACATGCTTAGCATTTTAATGTTACAGCTGGCTTCTGGATCCATAGATCCAACCAACTTTGGCCTAAAAATATTTTCTAAAACTTGGGTCTTAACTGAACACATGCAGATTATTTTCCTGGTCCTTATTCACTTAAGGAAAGCTGTTACAGTAAACTACACTGATATTGCATAAGCAGTGAAGTAACCCCAGGTGATGCTGCAATACATGTGGGTATGGACAGGTCACATGCAAGCATTGTATCAGAGACACTTGGTGTACTTCGTGCAGCTCTCTGTATGTTTTTCTGTCTGAAAACAGCTTCATCTGCTTATTTTTACCTCTGTGCCCTGAAGCACTACCCTGAAGCAAGAGCATACCTGCAGAGGAGGCAGAGGCTCTGCTTCCTCCAGCTGGAGCCTGGTACAGCATGGGGACACTATGCTCTTTTCAAGGCCAGCTCGTCCTGACAGTTTGTATATCAGGTATGCCTTCACACAACTCTGAGAATTTTAGTTCTACTGTATTTTTCAATGTCTTTACAAATTCTTATTACTTATTCAAGTTTAACCTCAAAGAATTGAAAAAAATAGAACCAACGCACTTCCAAAATCAATAAAGATATGCAACAATTATAAAAGCTTCATGACTTTTTGCATTGTGAAACCAGAAAGATAATTTTAATAAAAGACAAACAGAATTAAAAAACCAGGGCTTCTGACTTTTTGCCTGAGATTGCAAACATAGCCCTGACCCAATCAGTAAACGTGCCCCTTGTAGATTTACGAATAAACCACAGTTTCTGTCACACTAGCTCTAAAGTATAAAGTGTATCTACAGCACATCCACAGATGCGCACCCTCACGACCCGCTGTCAGTACTATTTTAACTTATAATTAGAAGCCACCTACTCATCCAGGGAACTTAAATTGCTTTTGTTCATTTTCCACACCACTCCCCACACTTCGTCGCCAGGACTTTGAAAAATGGTAGCTATACCTCCATGCCACCTCTCACTTGTTTTGCCTTGGAAATTGCCAAAGTCGAGCTTAAAGTCCTGCAAAGAAAACAAAGCAATATAGGATCAATACCTATTTTAGCAAGAATTCCTCTCTTCAAAATACAAATGATTTGCCTTGATTTGCCTTTTTCTCCATGCGAGAAAAAACATTCGATAACCTTTGTTTTCGTGTACAAAACTGTGGAAAATAAAGATAAACAGACCAAGACCCAAATCTCAAGGACTATAGATTCTTTCCTACTTTTCTTTAAAAATGAAGCTTGTTCTGAACATAAAGGCAGCTAAACATAAAAAAACCCTTAAGGAAATCCAATATGCCCTATATTAGCTTTAGCTTTCATTCTTGCAAAGGACTTCTCAGTCTACTTAAATGCACGTGTATTTTCACTTAGACTGGATGATGTTACATAGGGGTTATAATACACTTTTATGTCTGCACAGTACCTTACTTGAAAATCACTGTACTTACCCTAAGTGAGCTGGCTTAGGGTGTATGAGCATTAATCTTCATGAACTGTATCAATTTATTTTCAGTAACCTAAGAGCAGCTAATACTTATTGAATATTCATTATGTGCTATATACATTAGCTGTTACTTTACATGGACCAGTGTTTTACTTAATTTATAGCAGAAAAATTACAGTGTAGAAGGATTAAGTCACTTCCCTAAAGTGTTATAACTAACAAGTAACAGAGACCCCTTTCTAATTTAGCTTCTACTATAATTGATGGGCAACCAGAGTGAGGGCATCTGCCTTGTGTGGTCTAAGATGTCCGTCAATCTCTTCATAGCACACAGGATGGACTAAATGACAGTGCTGTAGTCCTTTTGGTCTATATTATCCCTGTCACCTCTGTTTTCTCAAAAATTTTGTTTGATAACGCAGGAAAAATACTGGTCCAAGTAACCAAGACTTTCCAGCAGCATACTGGGTATTCTAGCATCAGTAGAAGAGACTGGCAACATATTGCTAAATGCAGCAGGCATTGCTGTGGAATAATCCTTCCGTACACTCTGAATATGTATCACTCTCATTGGTTAATAAAGAAGCTAAGACTGGCCTATAGTAAAGCAGGATAAAGTTAGGCAGGACAATCAAGCTGAGGATACTGGGATGAAGGGCAGAGTCAGGGAAGACATCAGTTGGTTATAGAGAAAACAGGACATTAAAAAAAATGAGGTAACAAGCCATGAGATACATGGTGAAGCATAGATAAGAAATATGGGTTAATTTAAGTGTAAGAGTTAGCTAGTAATAAGCCTGAGCTATTTTCCAAGCATCTATAAGTAGTATTAAGCCTCTGTGTAGGTATTTGAGAGCAGGTGACTGGGACAGGAAAACTCTGCCTGGAGGCAGTTTCATTCCCTGCTTGGTTCCAAGGTTCACTGTACATGCGTGACACAGAAGCTACCTCTCCAGCCCTTTCTTCTGATTTGAGGTTGACCTGATCTTCTCACCTCGTTGTCAACTCCTCTCTACTCCCCAGGGTTTCTTGGGGTTCAACTTACGTCCTTTTTGAATTTAGCAATGTTCCCAGACAGCCTCACCACCTCCAGTAGCTTCTAATACCACTGAATGCTTCGGTCACCTTTAAAACCAGTACGCATCTCTATTACGAGACACAAAAGCAATTAGAGCACAGTAATGCCTAACAAATGCTCACTAATATTTTCCTGTTCACCTGGCTCTCTAGGTAGCGTCTCAAACTCACTTATATTCAAAGTTGGTTCATAAGTTTTACCTCCCAAACCTGATTCTCCTCAGTAAACATGACCACCATCCTCTACCTGGTTGTGCAAAAACTTGAGTCATATTTGTATTGCTTCCCTTCACACACAATCATCAAGGTTTCAATGATGTTATCTTCTAGGTATTGTTCAGAGCCATCTACCTTCCCTGACACCACCCTGCTAGATCATAGTGGCATTATCTTTGAAATGAATGTGGCAAAATCTCAACTAGGCTTCCAATAGCCACACTTGCTCCATTTTGCAGTAACCAGGATGCGCTTACAAAGATGTAAGTCCCGTCATTTGCTTTGATCCTCAAGGCCTGCAAGAGATGATACTTTCTTATCTCTCCAGTCCTCATGCCACATTTTAGAGACTCCAGCTACTTTGACTGGAACAACCACTTCCTCTTTTCTCAGGTTCTTTGACAAGTATCATATCTTGGTTTCTGTTTGTTTGTTCTTTGCTCTTCATCTCTCCATTCAGGTCTTTCTTAGCTTAAAAGTTATATTTAGGAGGGCTTTCCTGAGCATCTTGGTTAGATTCTCTGGTGATATAATATCCTCTTCTAAGGCTAACCACAGCTATAATTTATTATTTATGCAATATTTCTTTCCTGTGCCCTGACTAAGCATTTGAGTTCCCTTCCTGCACTCTCAGGAGTTTCAGGTAGACAGTACAGAACATGACTCCCAGTTTTCAAACTTCAAAGGCTAGAAGTTGGTTAGCAATGACCGCCTTGCAGTAAGGACATGAATACAAGTTAAGATTTGGTCAATTAGGATACCCAGAGAGGCTCTCAATTAGAGCTAGTGTTCAAGACCATCAGGCACTCCACTCTAGGTTTCAGAAACTGCGGAGCTATGGAACAGCAGCAGGCAAGAGCCAGCTCCACATCGTATTTACTAGTTCAGGAAAAGTGCAGCCCAGGACTGGGCTGGTCCTCTCTTCCGATGCTGGTTTTACACACGCCAGGCCTGCCTGTTTAGTCAGCTCCTTACTCCAGTCTTTCAGGTGATCCAATGAGCTCTCTAACATCCTCTAACATCTTCCAACATCCTCCCTCCCGCCCCTTTTCTTTCTTAAAACAGCCGGTTTCTGTTGCCTGAAACCAAGAACTCTGACAAGGTTAGCAAAGATCGTGTGTATTTGGCTCAAGTTGTCAAAGGCACGACACACAATCGGACCGTACACAGGTAGGTCTTCCAAGTAGCGAGGCTGCTCAATCATCTTTATAAGCCCAGCACTGAGTGCCAGAAGAATACGTATTAAATAAGCAAATGAATTGTGGTCAAGAGCAACAGTTCACCAGAGTTGGTTAAAGTTTATCGGACAGGGACACTGAGGACTCCTTCCTGAGGGAGTGTCTCCATATGGAAGACATGACACCAAGTTCTGATCCAGGTCTCAAGACCAGGACCACTCAGATCTGGAGGAAAAGAAAGATACACAGAATTTCACAAAACCGTAGGACAAGTCCTGTGACAAAGGCATGCACAGGGTGGAAAGCAGCTAGTTCCCGACTAAGAAGCACCCATAGATGGCATCCGACAGGATGGTGGGAAAGGGCAGCCGGTGGAGGGCTGCGAACCCTGATGGTAGCCAAAGGTTCTCGGCAGGGGTCGCCCCCGGCAGGCTCTCCCGGTAGCGGGCACAACGGCACTCACCTGCAGGCGCGCCACGCAGCAGAACACGGCAGAGGGGTTTCGCAGGTGGATCCTCTCGGTTAGTAGGTTGCTGCCGTAGGCGAAATACAGGAACGTCTCCCCCTCCTGGCCCGCATGGTCCTCACAGCCAGAGCTCGCCATATCTGCCAGTCTATGCCAGCAGCTCCAGGTACTTGTGAGCACGGCCGGCGTTGCCGCAGAAGCAGCGCGCCGCCACCCACCGGTGAGCACAGAGCAGCGGGCGGAGCTGCGGAGAGAGCGCGCTAAGGATTGGCTGCCGGCTTGCCGGCGTGAGCCGACTACAGTGATTGGTCCGTCTGCACCGCCTCCTTTACTAGGACCGCCTCCCCATTGGATGGACTCCTCGGATGTCCAGCCCCCTGCCTGAGGCTACGCTGATTGGCGGACCTAACGGCAGCGCGAGAGCGGTTGCACGTTTCCGTGTTCTCCGGGCCCTGCTGACCCTGGTTAGTCCGCTCGGTAGACTCCACGCACGGCGCAGGTAAGACAAGGCCTCCCACTACTGCCCATCCTAGCCTGGAACTCGGGGCAATCCTCCTGCCTCAGCCTCCCTGGAGCGGGGACGGCTAATTCAACAAGCTTTGTAAGGATCCTTCACTCTGGATGCCTGGGGCGCCCTGCCCTGGGTTCAGATCCCGACTTGGAATCTGCTAGACCCTTGACCCCTTTCATGGTTGCTCGCCGTTTCCTCTTTTTAAAAACGAATCACCCAAAACCTCTATGTTTTAATAATCTTGAAATGAAGATAGGAGTGCAAACTGAAGGTCTAGAGTAATGACTGCCTTCAGATATTGATCTAAATACAACTCCACACTGAGAGGGACCAGAATTCCTGGAGATTGAATCCAGGTCAAAGCTGGGAGTGAACAGTACCTCTTAGAAGAGCAGGCTTCAGAGAGGGAGAATCCTGAGACAAGCAAGGTCCTTCCTAAAAGACTACCCACTAGACAAAATGAGAACAATTCGAGCCTCAAAACAACCGGAAACTAAACTGATAGTGTTAAATATGTTATTGCCCTCAGGAAGTAAGCCACATTAAAACAGAAAAGAAAGCCATACTGCCACACTGTCAGTGGTGAACATTTCGTCCTTTACTCTTAAAAAGTGGTTATTTAAGAAAATAGTGTTTAAGCCGGGCGGTGGTGGCACACGCCTTGAATCCCAGCACTGGAGAGGTGGAGCAGCCTGGGCTACAAGAGCTAGTTCCAGAACAGGTTCCAAAGCTACAGAGAAACCCTGTCTCAAAAAAACAAAAAATAACAACAACAACAACAAAAAGGAAAATAGTGTGTTTATTCTGCCTTTCTAGTGCTGCTACAGAGAAACCCTGTCTCAAAAAACAAAAAATAACAACAACAACAACAAAAAAAAGGAAAATAGTGTGTTTATTCTGCCTTTCTAATACTGGATGTATTTTTGGAAACCCAAACAACATTAGCTGATGAAGAAGCAGTCCTTTGTCAAACATATACCAGCTAAATGCAGGAAAGAGGGTAGACCATGATGATACAGTCTCTAATGAAACAAACCTACTTGTCAGGAGCATCAGTGGAACTGCTTGGGGGAAGACCACAGGGGTGTTTGCCGGGTTTCACCGCTAGTCAGGGGAGGGGGACCAGGGCCACCTGCGAAGCCTGAACTCTCACCTGATGGCACCAATAAAGACTAGCCTGACATGGTCTTCTGATAGGAAGCAGCTCGGAACTCCAGCATCTGCGAGTTGTGATCTACAAAAGTCTTTAACCACAACATAAGCTTTTTATATCATCCTGTTTTAGAAATCATTCACGTGGAAGGAAAAGTGGAAACAGTCAGGAACACCTAGAACCTATCTCTTAAATTACTGTGATTAAAAATAAAAGGTAAGGCCGGGGCCCGCTAGATGGATAAGCAGGCGAAGGCACTTGCTACCAAGCCAGAAAATAGGAGAGTTAGATCTCCAGGTTCCAGGAAAGCTCCAGCTCCTACAGGTTTCCTTTGATCTCTAAATTATCCGAAGTTCGTAATGTCTATAATGCAGTGTCCGTAATGCAGAGTACTGCAATTTAAGGCTTTGCTTAAAAAAAATTGCTTTTCTAAATGTGGGTTTGGGTTTTTTTGTTTGTTGTTTTTTTGAGACATAAGTTTTACAGTGTTGTCTAGTGTTGGGGGCCATGTGAGAGGCCAGCAGCTTCGGAATTCATGGAGTCTGACTCAGCAGTCAGCATAAACAGGCAGGGTGAGCCTTGGGGCGGAGAGCCCAAGGACTATTACCCTCGAGGTCACCACGTCCTTCATAATCTATGAGTTGTATGAAAACTCTCCGAATTTCTAGCCCCTCAATGGGCAGTGTTACTGCTACCTACACTAATAGTGATTGGCCTTTTCCAAGCATTGACCGCAGGAGTTGATTAATGATTCAACCACCACCCTTGGAAACAATTTAGAACCGGGAGGTGATGGTACACGCCTTTAAACCCAGCAGCCGGTAGGCAGAGGCAGGAGGATCTCTTTGAGTTTGAGGCCAGCCTGGTCTATAGAGTGAGTTCCGGGAAAGTCAAAGATACACCGTGTCTCAGAGAGAAAAGAGAGAGGAAAAGAGACTTAGTAAAGTTAGATTAACGTGTTTTTGTTACTGGCCTTGATATAGAAAATCTTGGGGAACAGTTTAATATTTAGAAAGGTACACTTTTAATAGTTGAACAAGGGATGAGAGCAAAGGCAGTCAGTCTTATTATTAGCTGACATACCTTTTTTGCTAAAGATGGGTTGGTGATCAAAGATGATGATTAATTTCTTGTACCCATTTTTGCCCTGGCATCCTGGTATGATTTACTAGAAAATTCGTGACGAGTGGGAATGCACTCTGAGGACTTAAAGTAGAAATGGCTTTATATATATAAAGTTTAGATTAGTGACTCTTTTAGAATTTTTTTATAAGATTGCCTTTTGAGATAAATAGTAAAATGTTTGGTTCTTTCTTTGTAATCACAAAATGCAGCTTACCGGTAAAAGAACTGACTGAGACCCTTGTTTGCCTACACTTTGTTAGTCTATAGCAAGTTGTTTAGGAGTGAATGTCCATGGGTCCTTGGGAGTGATTTTTTACCTGTATTACATAAAATGTTTAATCATCTAAGGGAAATGAGAAACATGCTGGGTTTTTTGTTTTTTTTTACTTGCAGTCATTGTAGTAATTCATTTAAAACGTAGAATGTAACCACATTGTAATTTTTGTATTGCTTGAAAGGAAAGTTATTTCTTTTCTCCTCAGATGATTTATTTCATAGCTGTTAATTATTCTCCACACGGTTTTTTCTGAAAAAAAATTCTGAAATGAAGAATTAATGTTTTCTTAAACTCTGAAAGTCTTGCTTATTTCAAATATTTATTTAGCTATTCCATGGAAAATATGGTGTGCAAAGCAATATTGGCCAGCAAGGGGCAGTAAGTAGCAAGGTTAATTTTGGGTTTTGTATTTGTCAATTTCAACCAAACCCAAGTTAATCCTAGTTAACACTCAACTTAACTCTTGTTAACTGTGAGGCCATGGCCTAAATTCCTTCATTTGCTAATTCACTTGTCTCTGCAAAAAGCTCTGTACTGAAGGTACTGCTATCCTGTCATGGGTGTGGACATGCAGGCTGCAGTTAGCAATGACTGGAGCAGAGTCCACCACTCCTGGATCCTACCTCCCAGACTGCCCACCTTGCAACACTCTGGATAGAATAGGTATATCTCTTATAGAGGTATAGTAGATGATATAATAGGGTGCTCTGAATATAATAGTTAATAACACACCCTCTATTACAATCAAAGGCATTATGAAACAACATCAGCCTTCAGTCACTTGCTGATAATGAGAGCAAGGCCAGATGTCTTCCAAATGCCATCTTTTAATCCAGTTGTCTTTCGAGTTTTTTGATTGTGTGATAAATATTTTGAGCATGAACAAATATAATTCTCTATATATTAACCTATGTGACTATACATTAAAGTCATAAGAAATAGCATTACGTCACATTATACAGGTACTATTACTTGTTAATTTATAAATGAACCCCTCCATCCACCCCAGGTTGAGAAGGAGGCACCATGGCGATGCCCCAACCTCGACGCGTCACCCACCTCATCTTTGACATGGACGGGCTACTTCTGGACACCGAGCGCCTGTACTCAGTGGTGTTTCAGGAGCTGTGCGGCCGCTATGGGAAGACATACAGCTGGGAGGTCAAGTCCCTGGTGATGGGGAAGACGGCTCCAGAAGCCGCACAGATCATCATCGACACCCTGCAGCTGCCCATGTCCAAGGAGGAGCTGGTAGAGGAGAGCCAGGCCAAGCTGGCAGATCTGTTTCCCACGGCTGCCCTCATGCCTGGGGCTGAGAAACTGATCAAGCACCTCCGAAAGCACAGCATCCCCTTTGGCCTGGCCACCAGCTCAGGCTCTGTGTCCTTTGAAATGAAGACCAGCAGGCACAAAGAGTTCTTTGGGTTGTTCAACCACATCGTGCTGGGAGATGATCCCGAGGTCAAGAGTGGGAAGCCATCCCCAGACATATTTCTTTCTTGTGCACGGAGGTTCAATCCCGCTCCTGCCCCAGACATGTGCCTTGTCTTTGAAGATGCTCCCAATGGAGTGGAGGCAGCTCTGGCAGCTGGGATGCAGGTTGTCATGGTTCCTGATGGAAACCTGAGTAGAGACTTAACAAGAAAGGCCACCGTGGTGCTGAGTTCTCTGGAGGGCTTCCAGCCTGAGCTGTTTGGTCTGCCTGCCTACGAGTGACAGGAGGCAGCCTTAGGGTGCTGCCATGGGCCATGTGGCATCCCTGGGGGAACACATGGTCCCTCGGGGATCATGTGACTTCCTAGGGGCCACATGGCATCCTCAGAGGGGGCCAAGTTCAGGGTCCATGCCACTGAGGAAAAAGGGGAAGGCAATGCATTGCACCAGATCGAGTCTGTTTACACACTGCAGCCTTGTGAACATAGCCATCCCCACCTGTGTGGGCTTGGCCATCTCTCTGGAGTGGGGCTGGGTCAGTAGTTAGCAAACAGAGACGGCCCAGGACACAGCTTAGGGACAGTATGTAATGAAGTGATGTGGTCTATGAAGGGAATGAACATGCACACAGACACAGCATTGTGTGACTACACATGTGCCAATATATATCCACACACACACATATAAAGTATATATGTAAATGCATAATGTTCCAGAGTGAAATCATATTTGTATTTGTTTCC